ACGGTCCTACATAGAACCATTTTCTTTACTAAAGAACCCTTGAAGCACAATCTTTTTTTAAGAGTAGTATATAGATAAAATGCATTTGAAGGCTTTGCCCAAGAAAGAATGTGAGTAATTGTGCTGATTATTGATTATAATATTGGTTATAATAATGATTAATTAATGTAGTATTAACTGCATTCATAGACATTGATTCTACATAGATTTAAAGAAAGTGGTTCTATATAGAACCGTAAACACTCAAAGAACCATTTTCATGCTTAAATACTTTGTATGGTGAAATGGTTCCTCAGATTGATGGAGAACGTGTTATATATGGTTCTATATAGGACCAAAAAGGGTTCTTTTAGTGTTATAAGCTTGACATCGTGACAATAACAGAACCATTCTGGAGCCATTTGGAACACTTTTCAAGTAGGTTCTATATAGAAGCATATACGGCATGTTCTTCATCAATCTGAAGAACGTTTACTAAAGAACCCTTGAAGCACCATCTTTTTTAAGGGTGTACCACAAACGAGGAGCACATTCGGACTAGAATACATTCTCAAACATGATGCTTTATGAAGTGCTACCACATTTCAGCTGTCAAGAACGTCAATTAAAAAGTCTACAAAACTTTTTTGTGTAACTTCAGCTGCGTAACTGATTTAGACACATGAAAATCTTGAAAATCAGATAGATTTCATTAAAAAAAATGAAAACAAGCAGCAGCAAAAACAAGCAGGCAAAACATGAAAAACATGAAAGTACAGTTTCCGCTGTAAGCTCGACACACTGCATATCCCTACACATTGCATCATCCTCAAACTGCGGAGTGATTTCTTTCTCAAAGAATTTTTTTGCGAACTTATATATTCCTGGTTTCCCCCAAAAAGCCTGGCGCTTCGCTTCCAACCTGGCCTTGCACAGTGGGGGTCCTGGATCTCAGCATGAATATTTCAGTAGCTGCTCAGGTTCTTAGGCGTTCTAATACTCTTTTTCTCCGGTGCCGGTGGTGTCAGTAGTCCCAGCTCATCCATTTGGGGCCAATTTCATTTCAGCCAAAGTTCTTTAACAAACAGTGCGCTGTACCCGTCCGCTTATTATCCCCACAACAGCTGCTATGGCTACAGGATCAACAGCAGAGCGCGGTTTAATGTTGACCTTACATTAATACACCAAAGTCAACCCCTCAGCTAATATATCAAACTCTCTGTGAGGTGCGTGATTTAGTGCTGTGGCCTCACAGGACTGCGGCTTTGCGACAGCTCGGCTTAGCTTGTAGTTACAGACTAATCTTAGAGTCATTTCTGTTGTTTTGCTGCACTATTTAACTGTAATTACATTATTGCTCAGGTAGTTACATAATACTCCACATTTACATTCTGCTCAGTCTGCATTTTTGACTTTTTTCCTTCGATTTGATGTCAATCAAAAGCAAAAACGAGGCAAAAATGTAAATTATGGTTTGGTTTTGCAAAACAAGACTGTAAAAACAATAATAACTTTATAAAAATCTCATCTTCCAATTACACACAAATGGATTGGAAGCTTAGAATTTGCACTACAGCAATTCTCTACTTGTTTTTTACGAACTACAGCTAAGAAACAAATGAATCAAGCAGGTTGTTTGACTTACAAACTGAAAATATATGGACATTTAAATTGAAATACATTTCACTTTAAGTTGAGGTAACAAAATATACATGGAAAGGTGAGGCACAATTAAAGGGCCCATATCCTGCATTGCATGATTTTCCTCTGATGCCCACTTATGACATTTAAATGCTTTTATACACCAAAATAGTCATAATTCATTTACTATGACCATTTTCCAAACTCTCCTTATCCCAGAATTAAACAGGCTGTTTCTGTTACTGTGCCTTTAAGACTGATATATGTAAATGAGCTCTGATCCGACTGGCTGTGCCGTCCCAGCGGAAACACTTTAGAACTTCATCGTGAATGGGAGGGACTAAACTGCTGTACAGTTCATAGGCAGATATATGTAAGTACGTTGGTTCTGTGACATTAAAAACAGGTTGCTTTTGCAGCTTAATTTCCATATACAGACTGTTTGGATTGTACAGTGAACTGTTCATTTTATAACTTTAACAGCGTTTATGTACTAAATTACACTCTTTTCCACTGTTTTTCCATGTTATGGGCCCTTTAAATTAAATTCATACAATAATTTCTTTTCTTCAGTGAGGGTTAAAGACCACAGAAAGTAAAACTGTTCTGAACAATTATTTTTAATATAATTATTAAACAGTAAAATATGCACTGACCTTTCCTCTCAAAGCTCTCCTCCCTGAGGAAACAGACGAGGGCCAGAAATTTCGTGACCTCTTTCAGGTACATCACCGTCGTGTTGTTCAAGTGGATGATGGCCATGGACTCTTTATCATAGGGAGACCCGGCCTCATCGCCACTCAAACTAAAGGGAGGAGGAAAGAGGAGGAATATCAAACATTAGCTTCTGTTTTCAGTGTGCTACTGAAAGTTCTCTGACCGTATGACTTTCGAAAAGATGTAGATGCTTTGATCCAACAGAATGTAACCTGAATTTATTTACAACATCCACTTAATCAGCAATGTAAACTACTTTGTGCTTCCCACTCACTGGCCACTTTATTAGAAACACCCACCTTGTGCTTCCACTCACTGGCCACTTCATTAGAAACACCCATCCTGTACTTGCACTAACTGGCCACTTTATTAGAAACAGCTATCCTGTACTTCCACTCACTGGCCACGTTATTGGAAACTCCTACCTTGTGCTTCCCCTCACTGGCCACTTTATTAGAAACAAATACCTTGTGCTTCCACTCACTGGCCACTTTCTTAGAAACACCCATCCTGTACTTGCGCTAACTGGCCACTTTATTAGAAACAGCTATCCTGTACTTCCACTCACTGGCTGCTTTATTAGAAACTCCTACCTTGTGCTTCCACTCACTGGCCACTTTATGAGAAACACCTGCCTTGTGCTTTCACTAGCTGACCACTTTATCAGAAAGACTTTCTACTTCCATTTACTGGCCACTTTATTAGAAACATCTTGTGCTTCCACTCACTGGCCACTTTATTAGAAAGACCTGCCTTTCACCGCCACTCACTGCCTAAGACTTCTTCACAGCACTGTACATGTTGGTAATATTTATGAAAAGAGAAACATCATTAATGATTTAAGATCATAATCAGCACATTTACTCACATTCTTTCTTGGGCAAAACCTTCAAATGCATTTTATGTGTATCTTCATACCACAAACTAAGAGCATATTCAGACTAGAATAAATAAATTCTTAAGCATCATGCATCAAGCATCAGTGCTACCATATGTCAGCTGTCAAGAACATCAATTAAATTTTTGAATACCTTCATCTGTGTAACTGATTTGACTTGAAAATCAGATAGATTTCATTAAAAAAGTAAACAAGCAGCAGAAAAAACAAGTGGGCAAAACATGAAAAACACAGTACAGTTTCTGCTGTAGGCTCGACAGACGGCATACGTATCCCCATCCTCGAACTACGGAGTGACTTCTTTCTCAAAGAACTTTACTTCCACTCACTGGCCACTTTCTGAGCTCCTTATAGCTCCACTATGTAGGTGTTCAGTCATAGACTGTAGCTCACCTGTTGCTGCACAGTTTATCAGACTCCCGAACCCCATTCATCACTTTCTGAGCACAGGACTGCTGTTGTCCACATGTTGTCCAGCAAGATGAAGCTATAAGTGAGGGGTTTCTAATAAAGTGGCCAATGACTGAGTATATTCTCTTTATGCAACAGTAATAGTTCAAAAGCAGTCCAGCCCCCCACTGAGCATCACTGAGGGAGACAGCAGCAGGAAAAACTCCCTAAGAGCACCGTCGTCCTCAGCTATGTTACTGTATAGCGAAGTACGTGACTTTATCAGCACTTGCTGTTATACAGAGCTTGTGCACGCTTTGGTAGAGCCAGTGCGATACACCGACCGTTCGACCTTGAGTTTAAATATGTATGATAAAGACTATAAGAGTGAGTTAATCAGCTCTCAGACTATCAGAGACGAGCCTCAACCATCTCAGCATGTGAACACGGCCACGGCAGAACAGATGCCGCATCACATCGTAATTATCTAAACGAACAGAAGCCCTAACTTAATCTCGTGCTCTTACAAGAGCAGAATACACAGCTGCAAAAAGCCAGCGTTTGATATTAAAAATGTACACACACTTTATGTTGGTGAAGCAAAAGACTTCAACCACCCTAAACTGAGATAAAACTGAATAATTCATAATTAATGCTTGATTTGGGTGTGCTGAGCGAAGAGAGCACAGCAAACTGCATATGCAAGCGAGTCATTAGCTAAATGAGTGAAAATGAGGTGGTTGCTGAATTAAACACCACAGCTGTTTGTCAATAAGACAGCTTTAGCCTACTGGAAAAATAAATACATTTTAAAAAATCCATGCCTGTTTCAAAATATTTCATTAAAAGCCAAGCGCCAGTTGGAGTAATTCAGTGTGTTATGCCTGCCAACACGCGCAGCGGGAGCCTCATGTCAAAACGTAGCGAACTGAACGTGACCAGCCTTCTTCTGGAATCCTCCTCGGCACAGAGCGTTCGACCGAGGCTACACTTGGCAGAGTTAAACGTTCTGTCTTGCCGAGCTGGGGTGGGGCGATACGATGATATCATATCATTATCATGATGAGCTTTCCTGAGCGTACTGACCCTTATTCTATAATGAGTTGTGTAAAAAAGCTCAGATTTAACCACTTTTAATGACTTATAAACTGCTCTGTGCCTGATTCACGAAATCTTTCTCCATATACTCTTGAAAATGATGGTTCTTCAGGAGTTCTTTAGTAAAGAAAATGGCTCTATATAGATCTATGAACGCCCAAAGAACCCTTTACATCAAGGGTCTTTAATTAAAATTCAATAACGTCCAGTTTCCTCAAGCAAAGGTCCGGAACATCATCATGTCTAACTTGCATTATGATTCAGTGCCATATACTCTACACTGAAGTAGCCTAGTAGATTATACAGTCAACAACTGAATGTCAAATCAAATAAAGTACAATTCAGTCATATTTCAACAACATTTATTGTCAGTTTTCTCTTTTTAGAGCACTCACTTTCTTCTCCGACTGCTGTTTCTCACCTCGTGCCTCCCATGTGTGTCACACTCACTCGAGTCTCAGTGCTCATCGCAATGCACAGGTCTGATTGGATGAGTAGTGCCACGTGTGATATTTACAACGCATGCGATTGATCTGTGAGTCTCCCGGGCCGCTAAAGCTACCGCAAAGGCTAGAAAAGGCTGACCCTGTCAAAATTAAATAATTCTCCATAGTTTATCGCTTACAGGTCCAGGTCCGCACAGGACAGCGTCTGGGTCCGGACTCAGACCGCGGTCCACCTATTAGTGACTACTTTACATGATTAGGTTCTTTGCATCATTAAACAGTTCTTCAGATTGATGGAGAATGTGCTGTACATGATTCTATAAGTATTTTTTTTTAAAAGGGTTCTATACAGCACCAAAAAGGGTTCTTCTATTGTTACAATAGCAAGCCTGTAACAATAGAGAAACTATTTTTGGTGCTATATAGAAATTGTTTGTTTTTGGTACATAAAATCAGACAAATATCATAAAAGGACCTTGTGCACAGCACTGTATGTGCATGAAAAACTGGCCCACAGTTCCCATATCAGTGCATCCCTAATCGTGTCACTATATTTGGGCCACACCGTCCACCCCTGACGCTGAGACTCATCTGCTCTGCAGGCCACCGTGGGCAGACAGCTGCCTTGCCCCGGGTCCAGCCGGCATGCCTGCACCTACGCACGCTTCTGTCTTGCTCTGTCTAGTGCACTCTGGGTCACTGGAGCTGGAGGTGCCTCCCTCTGCCCTTCTGTTTACAGCGACTCTTTCCACAGCCCTGGGGAACTCACTGCTAATCCCTGTTAACTTAAGACAAGGCCAGGGAAGAGAAAAGGGGCACCGCATACCAAACGCTCCGTTCACGGTTATTTTCACATTCATTTTTCTCTTTGAAGAACACCAGAATACCAAAAAAGAACAACAGAATACCAAAAAAGAGAAAGTGCAGAGAAATGCTGTGTGTTTTGTGTGTTACGCTTAATAGTGAGAGTTTATGTTAGACTATGTTGTTCATATTCGCTCCCTATTACAGAAACAGTAAACCGCAGTGCTGTGCAAAGAGACCACCTTTCATTTATTTATTTTCCAGTTCAAACAGCCATTAAGTACAAGCTATTCATTTTCCACCATTAGATCCGTTAGCAGAATACCATAGAAAATTACACAGAAGCCTCAATAACTACATTCAATACCAGATTTTTTTTATTTACTGTGTCACTCTTTATCTTTATTCCAGCTTCCATTCTTTTCAGGAGACTCACTTTCAGTTTCTCAAAGAATCGGCAGACAAACCTCCAAAGATCAGTCTTAGAAGCTGGTTGATCATTTTCTGAAGGAATCAAACTCATTCAGTGGTGTTGAGGTCTGGACTCTGGGGTGGTCAGTCCACTGTTCAGCTTCTTTGTTTGATGTGTCCGTCTCCTTTTCTCAGTGAGGTTCTTCTTGACACATCCTTTCAGACCCATAGCGCTGAGTCGTCTTCTCACAGTGGAAGGATGGACAGAAACACCTGTGGATGTTTTCAGATCTGAAGCAGCTTGATTTTCTCCTCTCTCTCAGAGATGAAAGCTTTAAGTTAGGTATTTGATATTGTGTGCAATATATGCCATTGTCAGAGAGGGATGTATGCAGGTTGCTTTCAAATTAACTTAGTAGTTGGTCATTTCTGTTCAGGTTTGATACTTTTTGCTACAGATTCAGTAAATGGCACATTTTCAGCCAATACATCTCTCCTTGTTGAAATATGAAGATGGCTTAAGGTTAAAGGCTACTGTTGCTGTAGCTGGTTATGTTATAACTGAAGTTCGGGGGGAGGAACATGCCTGAAACCCCTCCTTCTTCCAATTCAACACCCTATAAATTCACATCCTCACCTTCCATTCCCAAGACAAAGCGTTCACAATCCCCACCGCCACCCCTCTCCAGTCCTACACCAGTCCTGCTACAGCTATGATGGGGGTCCGGCCCTCTAGCTACAGGCAGAAGCTGCCCAGAACTTCAGCCCAAGTTCTGACTTCCCTCATACTACCACCACATTTCAAGGCATGGTCTGAACTCACAAATAACTGATGTAATCATAACATAAAATATTAAAATTATTTAAAACCCCATTGGTGAGGGAAGGCGTTCTATGCGTGAAAGGCTGCAGCACAGCTCGATCACTTTAACAAGCACAGCAACAGCTGGGAAAATAATAGATCTGCCTCGTGCTGCTACACAATGTTCTAAAGCCAGACGACATATCAGGGCTGATTAAGGACACAGACCGATGTTACACTTTAATAGAATACTCGTTAAATGGAAACAGACTCTGAGACAAATATAACCACTGTGTGTTTTCAGACATTTGAATCGTCCAAATCGTTGATTGACAAATCACGATTGATGGAAACTATCAGCAACTAATGATACAACTGTCAGTCAGCTCAAGCCAAATTTAAGTGCTGTTTATCTGATGGAGTTTTGGTGTCTACCAGGTTTTCCAGGTGGTTGTTAGGAGCCCCATTTTCTCTGTAACTCAACATTTTTCAAACTTCAGTATTGAAAACTCCTGTTTTATCACTCACCTTCCTTTGACCTTCTCCTTACTTATGCAAGTGGACCGTCTTATTTTAATCTCTTCCTAAACGTCTCCTAAAAAATGAATGACTTGTGTTGCTACTCTTGTACTTCTATTCAAGTTGTTTTTTGGAAAGATACTTTTACTGCAATCAGTATTTCACTGCTCTGTGAACACTCGGTATGCAGTACTGTGCAAAAGTTGGAGAACAACCGTCATTTATTTAATGTCCAGTCAAAACAGCCATTAAGCTCTAGTCATTTATACGCTACAGGGGAACTTCTAAGTCCATCCAGCAGCTATCAGTATAGGATCTGAAGCTCTATTCATCTCTTTTTGGATCATTTTGGTCTAAAATAAAATGATGAACCTCAATAATCAGAGATGTGACTCATCTTAAAGCAGTACAAACGTGGTCAACAGGAAAAATGAATTAGTAAGTAATATTAATGACTAAAATGTAACCAAGTAAGAGTCCTTTCCTCACAAATGTACCTGAGCAGAAGTAAAAGTATCATTTCAGTTCATCAAAAATGCACTTTACTGAGTACAAAAGTGTGTAACTGAGTGAATTAAAATAGTTACGACCAGCTAGCGAGTGAACAGCTATTGTTTTCCTTTTTTTTTCCAAAGCATCTGTTCAGTGAAGCCCCAAAAAGTGGACCTGCCAGTCGCACTGATTGCTGATTGGTGCTTTAGGAGGTCAGTGGAGTTTCCACAGTAAAGGCCACTCACCCGTAGATACAGGAGATGTCAATGACCACATCAATCATGTCGCAGCACAGCTCATACGTCTGCATGTCTACTGGACTGCTGTCAGTGGCGATGTAAATCTTGCTGACCACGTCGAACAGAAAAGCCTTTTCGATCCCTGAATTCTGCAACCAGAGCAAAGAAGAGTTAGAGGTTGAGCCCTTATTATCATATAGAAATTCACCGCACTCTGGACCAACAATGTATCAGATAACTGTGTGAAATGAAAATGTGTTATGTAATCCAGGAGGTGCGCGCAGTAATCGTGGGTATAATACTTTTTCTCATTAGCAAATGCACCGTCGTTAAAGACATTTGCTGCGCAGTGACTAACATTTCAGAGGCAACACTGGATGATCTGTTTACTGCAATACCTGTTTTACATGAGCACCGTTTCCTTTCATATCCACATTTCTCCAAAACATTTCCAAGAATTTCTGTATATTTACATGGGCAGTGATTGCTCCTCATGATTTCATTACTGACTCGCTGCTGCCATCAACTGGCTGATTAAAAAAAGTGCTCTGATTTATTCACAGATATTCAGGTTCCTATAAAACATTAAGCCAGAATATAAATAAAAAGACAAAGAAAAAGGACAGCAGTAAGTACAGCTTGGTCTGTGTCCACGTTGTTGTCTCAAGCCATTATCCTACATTAAATTTCATATTAAAACGTCATGCCTGCTGTAGTGTGCAGATAAATTATTCCCGGTTCACAGTCCGGGCACGGGTTCCGAGTCATCCATGTGGGCGACTGCCTTTTTATACGTGTTAATAATACATATTACCATATGCATGAAGTGCCAGCATTCATGGCCAAGAGGCAGAATAATCGCATCTCATACAGACGCAGAACTAAGCAGTGAAGATCACAACTCTTACTTCTCTACCTTTCATGAGTAAAAGTGATTCAATAAAAGTTTTACCAGCAGAAAAATCACTGTACAATATCTCAACACTCTCAAAACAAACCTCACAAACTGACCAGGCATGTGCACACATAGAACCCAGGGGGGCTTGAGCCCCTGCCCCTCTGCCCTCAGACTGTACAAGTGCCCTCTTGTTTGATGTGCATTATCACTGTATTCTATATCACCTTTGCCTTTCTGGGAATAGAACTAGTGTGTAGGCTTGGGTTCTGAGATTCATTGCTCTTGGGCGCCCCCTGTGGTGCAGTATCACCACCTGTGGTTCTCCTCAGTAACTCTGACCTGTCACTCATTACTACAGCACTGGGAAATCCCACCAATCAAACTCTGAAAATCTCTTCAGGAAAGCATCACACACACAACAATCAAACAACAACCTCACATAATGCCGGCAGTAAGGGGCGCTAATAACTAGAACTGGATGATTTGTGATTTTTCTGACTAGTATTGCTGTTTAAATGTCATTTTTCAATAAATTAAGCTCCAAGCCTGTTTTATGTTTGCCAAGAAGAACAGCACATCCACTTTGGCATGAGTCTTTAGCACTCAATATAGCATATGTAGAACCCAATACTGTAATACTTTCCCAGCAATGTTATAAAACCAAAAATGTAATAAAAATGTGCACTTTAACTTGGTCAAAAAATTAATAAAACCCAAACAATAATACAATTAAATATCTTCTGATATTACTGGGAGTGTATTACCTTTTCAGGTTGACCATATGGAATGCCTTGTTACATAATTGAAAAAGTATTATGTTTGTTAGTTGATCGTTTTTTGCTCAATTTTGTCTTTAAAAACTTGATGTAATACTTTTAAGAGTAGCTACCAAGGGTATCCTACAATGCTTTCATGCGGTACACAGGAATCAACCCAGCCTGGAACCAGAGAGAGCATCAAGTCAAGTCAAAATGTATTTATATAGCACTTATTACAACAGAAATTGTCACAAAGCAGCTTATCAGAAACTCTGGGTCCAAGCCCCAGTGACCAAGCATGACAGTGGCAAGAAAAACTCCCTAAGAGCAAGAGGAAGAAACCTTTAGAGGAACCAAGGCTCTAAAAGGGAACCCATCCTACTCGGGACTACACCGGACGGCAAAACAATAACACAACAAGAGCAATATGAATACAGGGCAAGATTTTTTTTTAAATTAATACAATACTAAATATAAAGAGAAGGACAGCCTGTCATTGGACAAAGTATTACTCATATACCGATCAGTGGAGTCCTATCAGAGTAACAACGAGAAATAGAACTGAAAATCGGTCACTGTTACCAAACCAAAAAATAAATAAATAAAAATAAAAAACGATTCATTGGGACTTAAATGATTCATGCTACTACATGGCCATTAAACAGTGTAGTGAGTAACACCAAGACTTTCTACGCTGGTGACTGGGGTTCAAATACCTGCACAGACAATAAATAGTAATATTTTTGCCTTTGGCTGCCACTACATTTCCTCTAAAACATGATTAGACTGTCTTTCTTGCTAAGAGTGGTTGCAATATACTGCAAAGTAAATTCATTTATCATTGTTACTTTATGCAGAAATTCTCTCTCACTCATGAGAAAGTCTGTTGAAAGTGCAAATAAAGTTTTCAATCCATTCAGGTAGAAGAGGAGATATTTCATTATGATTTAAATTTGATGAAAGGTTATTCATATATATGGTCTTTTTGCCAAATTCTGACATCAATACAAACAGAAAGAAAGTGCAAAACCTGCCCAATACAGAATCAAACGCAAACATATTCTTTTGCAATTAAATAATAATGGTATTACATTTAACTAGTGTTGCAAAACAACAACACCTCTAGAGTCTAATGTTATCCAGGTGTATCAGAGCAGGAACAATAACGAATTGTACGGCACAGTGGTCCTCCAGCGTAGAGAAGCCTGCTATAGATTGTCTTTTCTTATCTTACAGGGTAGAAAGCGAGTATGTTTCATCACTCACAGATATAAAAATGTTGAGTAGATTCTCCAGGGTTGGCAGCTGTGGAATGAGCTTCTGCACCACTTTACTGAAGGCTTCAAAGATGGAGTGATCGTAGATGCTCGTCAGGTAGAAACTGAGACGACAGATCATATGGCTTTCAGTTGAAAAAATAATAACACCAATCCAATCAAGCATCGGAGAGAATCACACAAAGGATGGTGTTCATAAAGCAATTTAGAAGAAGAACATTGATCTAGCATCCATTTTCATAACTAGAATAATCATCTGATGTTAAGTAAGTATCCATAAATTGTTAGACTTTGTGAAATTCAGCCAGTGCATTGTGAAAAAAAAAGCAATAAACCTCTTAAAGCTGTGCGTTATGGTGAATTTACCATGGTTAACAGGTGTTGTTAGGCATGCAAATGCAAAAACCCCTAATCCTATTAAACTTAATTCAATAGCGATGCTCTCAAAGTCTTCATCTTTAAGTGGCTGCCTTTACTGTTAGATGCACCGCAGTAGTTCCTGTGTACACATTAAGTATGCAAATCAAATCACTACTCATCTGTTTCATCAGAGTACAGGACACTAAATGTTAAAATAAATTCCTATTTATATGTTTTACTTTTCAAGATTATTATAAACAAGTTAATAAACTAACAGATAAAAGTCTATAAATGTTTGGCTTTGTTAAATCATGCTCTTTTTGTATCAAATACATACAACAGCAGCACTGAGGTGTCTCATTATGCTAAAATCCCTGCCTCTAGTGGTTTGTTGCTTTTATAAAACAGTGACAAAATGCTATTTGATAAGATATACCAAAGTTCAATAAATAATAAGTTATTATAAATATGATCTTCTGTCATGCAATGCAACATGTTAACAGTAACTGTGACATCCAAGCAGCAAAACAATGCAGGATTATTCAAAGAACAGTGCAGTGGATTTTAAAAGGAACCCTTACTGTGCCTTAAAATAGCATATATGTCAAATGTGATGTGTAAACAAAACGAAAATGGTTTGTTTATTATGAAAACATGACAAATAGGCAAAGTCCCTCTACTAGTAGGTCACCACTGTCGAAAATATGCGCTAAATGGGTTGCATACATGCAGTTATATGCAAAAGTTTGGGCACCCCTGGTCAAAAGACATGTTTTGTTAATTTAAGTAAAAATAAGTTTATACCTCCTCTACAATTAACATATTTCAGCACATTTTAATGCATAATTACTGTTTATTAACTGAATTTAACATATTGAAAAGAACATAAAATGTGGCCTGTGCAAAGGTTATAAAACATTGAATACTACATGCTGAAGTTTCTAAACACTGTGTCCACTCACTGTCCACTCTATTAGACACTCCTACCTTGTCAGTCCACCTTGTAGATGTAAAGTCAGAGACGATAGCTCATCTGCTGCTGCACAGTTTGTGTTGGTCATCCTCTAGTCCTTCATCAGTGGTCACAGGACGCTGCCCACAGGACGCTGTTGGCTGGATATTTTTGGTTGGTGGACTATTCTCAGTCCAGCAGCAACACTGAGGTGTTTAAAAACTCCAGCAGCACTGCTGTGTCTGATCCACTTGTACCAGCGCAACACACACTGACACACCACCACCACGTCAGTGTTACTGCAGTGCTGAGAATGACCCACCACCCAAATAGTACCTGCTCTGTGAGGGTCCATGGGGGTCCTGACCACTGAAGAACAGGGTAAAAGGGGGCTAACAAAGTATCAGAGAAACAGATGGACTACAGTCTGTAACTGTAGAACTACAAAGTGCACCTATATAGTAAGTGGAGCTGATAAAATGGACAATGAGCGTAGAAAGCAAATATGACAATATTTTATCGTTACTGTGATAAACTTTGTTACTGTGATAAACAATATCACATGGATATTGTGAGAACTTAAAGAGCACTGACCAGCTGCATGTTTCATTACAACAGAGCATAAATAGTCCTATTTAATTGGATTTAGTGCAGCACAGTATATCAAATTTTAAATAAGATCACTCTACCTAGAGTTTTTTTAAATGTGGCACTAAATAATCGTGACATATTGTAAAAATGTCTGAGTATCGTAATAAATGTTTACCATATTGATCTCTCCTAATGTGCACCATGTTAAGATGGACTGATGGGATTACATGTTTTTAGCAATCAGGGTTCCCTTTAATAATTTGGTGGATTCATACAGAATTCAGTTGATGTGTGTGCACTGAGCTTTTGACAACAGCTTTGAATGTGCCTCAGCCAATCGGATTTGTAACCAACCTTAAATGTATCCTCTCTAGGCCAGCGTCTGCCAGGTCATCATTGGCCCGTTTGTGGATGTCCCTCTGTTTCTCAATCTTGTGGTCATCAGACAGGCCGTCCACTTTATGGATAAACACCTCGAAGTTGATGTCTGGGTTGACTTTGTAGGCTCGAGTCACGGTGAGGTGAAGCCTGCTCAGTGCTTCCACATAGTCATCCTGAACAGAGGACCAGAACTAAACTTTTAAAAAAGTTTTGTTCAAATTGTAACAACAGAAAAAAACAGCAACAGTACAACTCATTCTGCTTTAGACGTCAATTATCTCTGCCGCTAACAGAATTATGCTGTAATTTGACGATTATTTCCTATTCATGACTCACTGAAACAAGCAGAGAAATTGTGTGGAAAGTGCAGATTCTAAACTTTCCATCTGCACCACATCAGTGTTTGTAAACAGAAGAGAAGATATTATCTCATGATGTGAATTTGATTAAAGGGCCCGTATCATGGAGAAACACTTTTTCCTTGCTTCTTTTTAATAAAAAAAGGTCTTTGAAATAATCTGTAAACATTGTTAATGTTTCAAAATGTACTGTTCACTCCTCAGTCCATACAGTGGAAACCAAGCTGCAACAACAACTTGTTCTGAATTCATTGTTTTTGTGAGGTCACAAAAAAACAACAAATTTACTTGTGTCTGCATATTCAGCCTACTGCAGTTCAGCCCCACCCACTCCCATTTCAGCCCGGACTGCTTTTTGAATGAAGAGAAATACAGGGCAGCCAATCAGAAGAGAGCTCAGTTACATATATCAGTCTTAAAGGCACAAAAGCAGCCTGTTTAATTCTTAAAAGGTAAAGAGAGGTTAGAAAATGATCATGAAAAAATAAATTAGGGGCGTTATGGTCAAAAAAGGAAACAAACAAAAAAAAAAACAAACAAATGTTATAAATGGAAAGATATAAATGGAAAAATACTGTATTAAATACAAGAAAACTGTAGGATATGTGCCCTTTAAAAGTTATTGTTGTGTGTCCAGTCCTGTTTTCTGCCGATACAGAATGTGAATAAAAAAATACCATAACTCATTATGTAAGTAACTACGTATTACTTGAGTAATTATGTAATTACATTGAAATATTACAACAAAACAGTATTAGCATTTCTAAGGGTGTACACACACTAAGCGATCCGTACCACGCCCGAGCACATTTAGCCCCCAAAGTCCAGTTCGTTTGACTAGTGCGATCGCTCCGTACCATGCCCGCTTGAAGAGGTGGCTCGAACATGATGTCGATGATGCGACTGCCCACTTTTTAATTCATTCAAGTATATGTGGGTTAATAACAGGTCAGGGGTCCGGATTTACGAAAACTTTACGAAAGCTTTACAAAAGCTTTACGAAACTATTTTCTTAAGATTTTCTTAAGAACATCTTTATTGTTTTCTTATGTTGGCTATGTTACAATTTATAACTTACAGTAAACGTGTTAGGCTATCGTAAGTTTAGTTTTGTGTTTTCAAGAATGCCATTTTCCTTAGAATTATTCTTAAGAAAATAGTTAAGGAAAAAAAAGATAATTTTCTTAAGAATGAAGTTGAGAAAAAACACATTTAAGAAGACTTTAAGACACTTTCGTGAATCTAGCCCGTTTCTTGTACCCTATCAAAGAAGGCGAATTGTAGTCTGCAAGTAAAGCTGTAAACTCCTTTCTCAACGTCAGCTGCCTCCAAAAAAATCTTTTAACTGAAAAATTACTGCACTGCAAAATCAATAAATCGATAAGGCATGTGAGAGCGCCACGTCAGTGCGCCCAAAATGGCACCAAAAAAAGGCACAAAGTAAGTACAGTCATGAACTACATTGTGCTGTTTGAGCTTTTCTGCAACACAAAAACTCACATAGTGAGGATGTAAGCGTGCTTGGGCCCGGAATGTTAGTTGCAATGTGAGCGCAGACCAACAGAGGGTGTAGGGAAGGGAAACAACGCTCGGGCATGGTACAAGACAACCGGGCATAGCGAGAGTACACCCTAAGGCAGGGGTTGGCAACTCAAACATTAAGAAGAGTCATTTTGTCCTTTCAACAAAAGTTAAACCACCTTGGGAGCCACAACATTTTACCATCGTTAACACACCAAGGTTTTACCATCTTGGCTGTAAATATGTCTCAGTATGTGCTAATGTCCCTGTATAGGCTAAAAAATATAATACCAACGAAAACGCAGACTTACTTTGCTCTGCTTTAAGCTTTAGCTCAGCTATAAGCGCTTTTCCCACATCTCTAGCAGGAAACTTTTCCACAAAAGTAGAACAGTTTCTTGTAAAATGTCTCAACGTTCAACTTTTTACAAGGCTGAAGTCGCTTCTCATTCACCAGTTTCTTGCTCGAATTTTTCCCGTTCCACCTTAAATGGTGCCTGAGGCGCCAGCATATAACTGCTGCACATTTAAGGTGGAACGGGAACATTAGAACGAGAAGCTGACGAACGAGAACGAGAGACTTCAGCTTCGCGACTTTAGTGTTTGACAGTTTCGCACTGCAGATTAAACGCATCAGGAAACCAGCTGGAGTGATTATAAATACAAATAAGTCCATTCATCTTCAAATTATCGATGTTCGTCTTAAATCTTTCTCTTTGCTTTTTCGTTAGATACTATCCAGGGAAGACTGTTATCTGTGTTGCTATGGTGACCAGCAGTCTGAGCGCTGATCTTCAGGGTTAAAGGGTGAATTAGCAGTCATACATCAACTCCAGAGTTTAAGACCGTTTACTGTTAAAACTGTGTTGAACGATCAGCAGAGCTTTATTTTACTGTAAAGGAGGATTATTTTATTTTTACCTACAAATCTAAATCAGCTGTGGAGCCGCAACAGGGCAGTAAAAGAGCCGCAAAGGCTCCAGAGTCACGCATTTGTTGACCCCTGCCCTAAGTGTTAAAGTCTTCGTCACGATTGTTGCTTGAAAAGCATAAGATTTTGGAGCCACACTGCGTTTTGGACAAGTTTTCCATTTAAAAGACATTCTCTACAACATGAGCACCGCACCTGCGAGTCAATAACGAAGATGAGCGCTCCCGTCCCCCTGAATATCATCTCATAATCGAAAGTGGGGTCGAAGAAGTCAATCTGGCCGGGAAAGTCCCAGATTTGGAAGCTGACGAAGGAGCTGTTGGAGACGTCCTCTCTGCAGATCTTATTGGTGCTCTCCAGGAAAAGTGTCTCGTTGGGGGACATCTTGTGGAAAACCACTTTCTGGATGGAGGATTTGCCGCTGCGCCGTAAACCCATTAGCAAGATCCGAGGCTTCACCTCGCTGCTAAAAGGGTCTCTGAAGCCCAGAACTGCACAGAAACAAAGAGAACAGAGAAGAACACCAGCGTATTATACATGTCCCCATTTTTTCCATCACTTGAAAGGAGAATTTCCTTTCATGCCTTCGCATCCCTTTGGCAAGCCTTAAGGCACGACTTTAAATCCCAGTGAAATGCATTTTAAAACACTGTCCTTTTATATTCATATCTAAGCTGTTTAAAATAAATGTTTCTCTAATTTCTGCAAAACGTTCAATTTGTATTTAAGCAAATTAGTAAGGTTTTTACCATCTAATTGGACTAAAATGATCTTTAATCTTGTGCGAATACAAATATGTGCCTAAAGCATGAGCCACCCTGTATGTGTTTGTACAGCTGAGAAGAGAACTCAAATAGTTAATATCAGTACTTTATAGTCTGCAGAAAGCACAGACTGTACATAAGAGTCTATGACAGCATGTCAATGACAGTTTATTTCAATATCACAATACTTTCCAAATATATCAGATGTGTTGGCATTAAAGGGGAATTTCTGCATAATTCAGTGGTTGAGATGCAAAGAAAGTCATTCAGAGTGGTTTAATGTGAAATGGTTCATTGTAGAGAAACTTACGGACTCAGATTTCTTTAGTTTTAAACTGGGTTTACAGTCTCATCCACAAAGGGCCGGCGTGTCTTCAGCCTTTCATCCCAGTCAAGCTGAAGCTCACCTGAAATTCCACCTGTATAATCAGCATCAGCTGGTCTCAGTCTTAATAACTGAGCAGTCATATGAGGTGTGCTCCTCCTTTTTTGGAATGAAATCCTGCAGCCACACTGGCCCTTTGTGGATAAGATCGGTGACCCCTGCTTTTAAAGGACCCATATCCCATATTTTTCTTGTTTATTTTTTTCCCCCTGTAGTCCATCTATGACGTTTGGGTGGTTTTATGTACCAAAAATAGTCATAATTCACATTTTTTTACATTCACAATTTCCAATCACCATTTATCCTTTACAAATAAGCAGGCTATTTATGTTAAAAGGTACCGTTAAAGGGGAATTCCACCGACTTTTCAAAATTTCTACGTAATTTAATTGCTGATAAATCAACAAAAGTCATTCAAAGGTTACGGAGCTTTTATGTGATGGTTCATTGTAGATCCTAAAGGTATCCTATGTTTCAGATGTCTTTACAGTGGTGGTGATAGGAACCAGAAGTTACAATGTCTACAACACAAAAATAATCATTTTATTTACTAACCAGAACCACAAGTGAACCTACACGAGTAGTTATGTCGTACTAACAATGGTAAAATTGTGATAAATCCATTAAAAATACATTTCCTTTGCCCTCAATGACCTGCATGTACCCCTCAGCATAAATGGATTTTAACCTCTTATTGACCAGGGTATTTTTTGTTTTTTCCATATGAATTTACATGACCAAATCGTAAGGCAAATTATTCAGTAAATGCATGAACTAAATAAATAAAATAAAATTTTACATTTATTTATTTTTTTGTAAAAGCTCCCCTCAAATTAACAGAACGTGTTTTCTGATCATGCACATATTGCTATATGCTTACAATTTACTGCTGAAAGCCAAAAATCTTAGACGCTCTTTGTATTATTTTATTAAAGTAATTTTTACAGAGCAGATCACTGAAGAGACGCCATCTGTTTATAGTTTATAGCCCAGATTTGTGGAAAAATGGGTCGACTTTCAGTAGAAACAAAAAATAGTGAGTTCAGCTTTAAGGGTTTAAAATTACATCACCCATCTATTTGACTGGAAAGAAGACAGTTACAGCTCTCATACGACCCCGACCTTTAGAATGTAGCTTATGAAATATGAAAGTTATGAAGAAAATGACGAAGTGCATTTTGGATCCACTGGTGGTCTCAAGGAGTTAAAAAGGTTAAAAACAAATATTTTAGGCCACTTGCTTTACAAACTACTGCAAGACAACGTCTCGGGCATCGGGCAGTGAATTCATAACCATTTCATGTAATAACTTTCCGCGCAGGATCTTTCAGAGGTGGACGTCTGGTTCCTATCACCACCACTGTTCTGTGAACAATTCTGACTCTGTAAGTTTCTCTAGAATGAAGCATTTCACACCAAACCACTCTGAATGACTGTTTACATCTGCAGAAATTTTAAACATTGGTGGAATTCCCCTTTAATAAAGTTAAGGAGCCCAGGCTTGCTGAGTGCCGCTCCTCTATGTTAAAGGAACGTCTTACAAACCGGGGGACATGTTCACGACAGCTTTCCTAAGAAAAAAAAGCTTATAATGCATCTCAGTACAGACACCAAGACGTTTATAAGAATGAGCCTCATTCACCAACCGGTAATAAGAAATTTCTTACTGCTGTCCATAAATATAAAAATATCACTAAACCTAAAAACCAATTGAGTGACATCAATACCAGACACTCAACGGTTCTTAAAATAAAGGTATTATTAGAGAGTTTGTCCTCTTTTGCTGCAGTAACAGGCTCTACTCTTCTGGGAAGTCTTTACACTAGATGCTGGAACACTGCTGTGAAGATTTGGTTGAATTCAGCCATAATCATGATCAGTTCTTGATCACTCCAACTCATCCAAATGCAGTGGCATAGCTAGGATGCTATGGGCCCTAGTGCAAAAACACAAAGCCCCTCCCTACAAGAATCACTTTCAATGAATAAAAACTATTCTACTGTTATGTCTCAGATAAGCTGATTCTCTCAAGACATGCCACTCCACCAACTAGCATCTGAACCTAAATGGTTGTTAGACTATCTGTTTATATCACAATAATTATACATTATATTTAGCTGTCTGACATGCCATCGGCCAAATAAGAAAAAAATTAAACAGATTGCTAAGAACCTTTGTTGTGCAACTCACATATTTTAATATATTACTTGAATGCAATAGTTTTGATCAGGTTCCATTATTTGTACCCGCAAATTTTGTTTGCAGTAGATAAGTCAGCATCCATCTTAACACACATTCTACAAACAACACCAACAAACAATGACAAACATAAAAAAAGTATTCAAGGTTCCAGCCCTCTTTACAATATTACTACAACTTGTTCACCTGGATAATGGCTGTTGGAACAAAGCTGTTTTTATATCACTTTGTTCTGCACTTTGGGACTTTTAACCTACGGCCAGAGGGAAGAGTCTGAAATTCTGTATTCAAAGGGTGGGAGTTGTAATTTAAAACTGACTTAACCTTCAGTCTACTAGACCACTTGACTATCTGACTCATGAAATTCCTGTTCCTCAAAGGTAGACTTCCAAACCACAGCACCAAAGAGAAGGTTCACAGCGATTCAGTGAAAACACGATAGAATAAGGTCATCATGGTTTTGTCAATGTGAAAATAGGAAAATCTCCTCAGACAATACAAACGCTGGTGCCCCTTTTCAGACACAGCTTGCTTTAAAGTTCAATTTTGAGTCAATAATTGTCCCAAGATGTATGTAAGACTGAACACAATCCACTGTCTGACCCTTATGGAGGTCATTTCATATGTGTGGGCATGTCTTCTGAAATTATCACATCTTTAGTTTTAGATATGTTCAAAGGAAGATAAGACTCCTCAAACCACTTGACAAAGTCACTGATGACCGGCCAGTGACTGGTCTCATTAACCCCGTTTAGATGCAGCCTGATAATCCATTAATAATCCGGCTAATAGCTCAATCGAATAGTCTAGTCCGATTGAGGCCATTCGGAATACAATTTCTATCTGACTGAACGAGGTGGGTTATCCTGTAAATAATCCGTTAAATAGAAGAATAATATCAGTGTAAACGCCTGTATCTGATTACATTCCCTATCAGAAAGTTTAAGTACGTTCTGATCATGTTCGTCGCGTCATAGAGAAAGTTTATAACGTTCAACATGGTGGAGCAGAAACTGGTCTGCAGAGGAGACGAAGTTTATGCTCTGATCTAAAAGACGGTGGGACGGACGTCCAGCTTATGTGTCTCAGAAACATCTTCCTCTCGGCCTTCTCTAATAAGGATATGTGAAGGACGTTTTCCTGAGTCTGACGTCATTTTAAAGCAATTAAAAACACAAGCACTGCTCACTGCTGCTCATCTCACTCTGACTGGACTGACATGATGCTTGTTGTCATGGTAACATCTACACTATGTGGTGCTCTACGCATGCGTGTAATTTTGGATCGGATTACTTGTAGTGAGCATGTAAACAGAGATTTACCATCAGATTGTTGAGTAGAGTGAGCATATAAACACCTCAGTCTGAATCTATAATCAGAATGTATTTAATTGGATGGGCAAAAATCTTTGCACGTAAACACAGCCATTGACCCAACTAACAACGACTGCATCATCTGCATACTTTAGGATGCTCCATCTATCCTGACCCATATTTGTATAGCGAATAAATAACAGGGGTGAAAGCGCGCACCTTTGTGGGGAGCCAGTTGAAGAGCAAACAGAGTCAGACAGAGATCCATTCACCTTCACTCTTTGTGTCCTATTAGCTAAAAAGTCAAGAATCCAGCCCACCAGATTTACTCAGGTCAAACTGTTCCAGAAGCCTACTAGTTTTGAACTGTATTAAAAGCAGACAAAATAAATCAACAAACAGAAGTCGAACATGGGACCCAATCCCCTCCAGATGTTTAACGAGTAGGCTGGGCAAAGCGACTGTGGCATCCTCTACTCCTCCGTGTGGTCTATAGGCAAACTGCATGGGATCAAGTGCATGTTCAGTTTTCTTTAAGATTTCTGACCTTCCCAATTTTTCAAAGGTGTTCATTATAATTGATGTCAGAACAACCAGTCTAAAATCATTAAAAGTTCTGGGGCAACTGGATTTGAGAACAGGGACCACAAACACATCCTTCCAAACCTTAGGATACCTGCTGTACCGGTAAAGACTTGAAATACGGGACTCAGTTCTTTGCGGAAGATTTAAGTGATCTACCATAGATGTTGTCAGGTCCATGGTTCTCATTTACACTTACTGAGAGGAAGGCCCTTTCCACATCCTTTTGGTCAATGTCAAAGTGCTGATTACCTACAAGTCTGTAACTCAGTTCCTGAATTTCATTACTAAAATCAAATCAAATCAAATAATGTTTATTGTCACATCACATTTACACAGGTGCAAGGTGAGTGAAAATCTTAGGTGCTTATTCTCCCTATATATATATATATATATATATAATATATATATATATATATACACACACACACACATACACACATACATATATATTATAGCAGTCATCTTATTCTCTAATTCTGTTTGATAATTCTGTTTTGCTTTAAAAACCTCTATTTTCAGCTCCATGGTAGTTACATGCAGATCAGAGACAGTCCCTTGATTAGAGAGTATTTGGACTTAATGGATTTGGTGACCCATGGTTTGTTTTTAGGGTAAAACTCACAAGGAATAATCATGCCCCAACAAAAGGCAATATATGGACATCACATCAACAAGTTAGTTCAAGTCACCACAAGACTGTTTAAACATGTCCTACTTAGTGCAGTCAAAACACTCCTGCAGACAGAGCACTGATTCGTCTGTCCAGCCCTTTGTGTCCGTTGTCTGTACTTTCTCTCACCTTAAACAGGTTTATATATGGGCAGCAAATGCACACAGTTATGATCCCCTGAACCTAATGCCTAATGGAGGGAGTGGAAGTGATTTATAAGCATCCTTTACTGACCCATAACAAAGATATAATGTCTTATCCTCTCTGGTTGAACAGGAGACCAATTGATACAAGTTTCTAAGTGTCTTTTTAAGAGAGACATGGTTAAAATTAGGGCTGAACGATTTGAGGAAAATATCCAAATTGGATTTTTCTGACTAATATTGCGAACGCCTCTTAAGTTGTTGTTATTTTTTATGGAAATTCACCCACAAGACCAGAATATCCACTTTTCTGGCTTGAGACTTGACCCCTGAATGTAGTGTGCCAGACAGCCAGTGAGGCCACAATACAAGGAGGTTTGGATGCCTCTTATTAATCTAACTTATCTACAGGCAGTTCACAACAAGCTCTGTTTTATTAGGTTAAATTTCCAGACTAGATAGGGTTTTTGATAACATAGGCTATAAATTTGTAAACAATTGCAGTTCTCGCAAGTTGAAAATTGCACTCTTACATTGCAATTTCGATATAAAAAAGATTAATCTCAGCCCTAGTTAAAATCAGAGAACATGAAGTTTGTGAGTTTGTCACTCCAACATGTCAGTCCAGCCGAAACAGAGCTCCAAAAGCATCTATAAACAGGTCACCGTCCTGGTCGCGCCTGATCTTGAATATATGAAAATATGATGTTGTACATTCTTATAATGATGGTTCTTCAAATGATCTTTAGTAAAGACAACAGTTCTTCATAGCGCTATGAACACTTAAAGAACAACTCGCATACTTAAATTGTTCTTTGCCTCATCTTCATATTGATGGAGAATGTGTTGCATATAGTTCTATACAGAACCTTTTTGACAATGGTTCTATCTAGCACCAAAAAGGGTTCCTTCCACAGTTATGACATCAAGCTTGCAATAATAGAAGAACTCCTTTTGGTGCTATATAGATCCATTTTCAAAGAGGTTCTATAAAGAACCATATACAGCCTCTCTCACGATGCAAAGAACCCTTCAAGCATGCAAATGGTTCTTTGAGTGTTCATGGTTCTACACAGAATCACTGTCTTCACTAAAGAACCCTTGGAGAACCATCTTTTTTAAGAGTGTATGTTGTGAAGGACGTTAAAACGATTATGTTGGATGACCTGCTTTATGAATAATACATCAGGTCTATCTGTGCAGTGTTAATGGAAGCAAACTTAATAAGAAATTGGTTCTTTCTGTGATCATGGGGGTAAAAATGTGTCTGAAAATGCTGGATGGGATATGAGAGTGAATAAAAGAATGAATGTAATTCAATCCTGTAACAGATCTACTCTGAAACAGCGCTCACTCACACTGTGTGATGTGATGTTAGCTGTATGGCTGTTCCTGTATTATTTATAGACTGACTGAGGAGTTTTAGTAGGATAGACCACTTTCAGATAACCTTCAGTGTTTCTAATAAAAATAGTTCATTTTAAAGATTCACAGTTATAAAAGGAGAAATATTGGATTGGTATCAATATCTGCAGGCTTCAATATCGGTAAAAGAGTTGTGCCATTTGTAATTGAGTCAATATCTATATGAGCAGCCCAATGAGCCCCAAAGGAACTGCTCCTCCTGCTCCTCCAGTATTTATGCCACCATGCCAAAGGTATTGGATGGAGCTCCATCACTCCAGTTTTTAAACACCTCAGTGTCACTGCTGGACTGAGAATAGTCCACCAACCAAAATATCCAGCCAACAGTGTCCTGTGGGCAGCGTCCTGTGACCACTGATGAAGGACTAGAGGATGACCAACACAAACTGTGCAGCAGCAGATGAGCTATCGTCTCTGACTTTACATCTACAAGGTGGACTGACAAGGTAGGAGTGTCTAATAGAGTGGACAGTGAGTGGACACAGTGTTTAAAAACTCCAGCAGCACTGCTGCGTCTGATCCACTCAGACCAGCGCAACACACACTAACACACCACCACCATATCAGTGTTACTGCAGTGCTGAGAATGATCCACCACCCAAATAGTACCTGCTCTGTGAGGGTCCATGGGGGTCCTGACCACTGAAGAACAGGGTAAAAGGGGGCTAACAAAGTATGCAGAGAAACAGATGGACTACAGTCTGTAACTGTAGAACTACAAAGTGCACCTATATAGTAAGTGGAGCTGATAAAATGGACAATGAGCATAGAAACAAGGAGGTGGTCATAATGTTATGCCTGATCAGTATACACACACACACATACACACCGCCACCATCCCAAAGGTACTGGATAGATCGCCATCACTCCAGAGAAGGCAGTTCCACAGCTCCACAGCCCAGTACTGGGGGGCTTTACACCCCTCTTGCCGACACCTGGCATTGGGCCTGTTAACCTTAGGCTGTGTCCCATTCTGCTGGTCAGAGCTTTTCTGTGGTGATTACACAAGCTGTGTGTCTCAGCAATGGGTTACTTTAAAGTAGCCGAGTCCACCCGTTAGAAAGTTTTTAGACATACATCACTCTGCATTACAACTCACACAGAGCTGGTGTTCGTCCAGGACAGAGCCTGTGCGTTCATGAACACAGGGGGCGCAGCCAACACCCTCTCCCCACTCCCTCCCAATCACATGCTCCCGCTGAGAGCTCGCTAGCTCTCTACTGAGGAATGTGGACTGCATTTAGGGAGACTGAGGGCCACTTCCAGTCCTAAAATACTGCTTGTGGATTCCGGCTATGTTTGTCAGAGCAGCTTCTTAGTTTGGCACTTCTGGGAAAAGGAGTAAACATTCGATACGCCTGCTCAAATTTCAATCTGGAAACGCGGTGCCACATGTAAAACAGCGTTACAGTAAACAATCAGCATTCTGAACTGCTATTATGTCACTTCATGTCTCCTGTAGCACTGTTTCCAAACTGTAGGCTGAGTGTAGCAGCTTCTAAATCTGAACTGTGAGGCAGGAAGTGAGGGCAGGTTGTCCCTGGGAGCAAGTTTAGAGGCAGATCTAGGCCTGTTAATGAACATATATGCAACAGACTCTGCTGCACAGTTGCACAGTGATGCCTGACCTATATATGGTCAAGGGTCATTGCATCTTAGGGTTACAGAGCCATGCCCTTGACCCCTAAAGGCTGGCCCAGTCTAACTAACACGTAGAAAATGAGACACAAGGACAGTTTCCAGAGCATCGAGGTTATTAACTAAATACGCACAGGCTTGGGGTTTATGGCAGAGTGACCTTCCAGGAGTGAAAGAATAGAAGTAAATAGAAGTAATACTGTTAAAAGTGTCTGCTGACCTCCCTGCTCGCAGTCACAGTCTCCGTCCGCGTCCGTGAACGCGTCGAAATCATCTTCGTCGTAATATCCGAACGCCAGGGCTTCATCCTCGCCTTCTTCTTCGCCGTATGCGGCTCCCTGGTTTGTCATTCTCCGGAGTTGGTGAAGTCTGAGCTGCAGCAGCTCCTACAACTCCTCCACATGGTCACCTGATATGGCCAAGCCATGCTGAACTCTCACCTCCCTCCCTCTCCGTCCACTGCGGCCTCAGAGCGGGCAGATCTCGCCACACTGCAGCCATTCATGAAGCCCGAGCTGCGGACAGAGATGTTTTTCACCCGCACATACTTCGCGATGTGCTTTGTTAGAGGACGCCTCCTCTTTGAAATGCTGCAGCTTGTCCTCTGTGGCGTTGGGCGGCGCGCGTGGAATCATGGGAAATGTAGTTGTTTACTTCAGAAGCCCGGAGTTAGCATGTACGCGGGAACAACGCGAACAACTGACCAGACTGGATTTAAAATGTTGTGAAAATAACAGTAGATTTTACTCTGAGCTTGACCTGATCCACATTTGTAGACTTTTAAAGCCCAGATGTGGGAAAATGGGTTTGTCCTCCCTTCCAGGGTCTACGTTTCTGTGGAAGCCCGTTTAGGCCCCTGGAAAAAATATATAGCCATTTAATAAATCATGATAATGAGACAGTTTTCCATATTTATGACACAGATGATGTACAAAGCACAAAACAATTTACTACCAAACTGTATTCAGAAGCTGTTTTCAATTAAAGAGAGCAAATATGGAATTAGGGAACCACGTACGTTTAAAAATCCAATATATATCTGTCAATCTGGGTATGTTTGTGGCATAAGTGTGATAAGGAACTAATAATGTGTAGTCATAATTATGAGTAAGTCATTATTATGAGATGCTAAGTCAAAGTTATGAGAAAATAAGTCATAATTATGAGAAATAAGCCATAATCATGAGATGCAAAATCACAGTTATGAGAAAGTAAGTCATAATTGTGAGAAATCAGTCATACTCATGAGAAAGTAAGTCATAATTGTGAGAAATAAGTCATAATTGTGAGAAATCAGTCATAATCATGAGAAATAAGTCATAATCATGAGAAAGTAAGTCATAATTGTGAGAAATCAGTCATAATCATGAGAAATAAGTCATAATCATAAGAAAGTAAGTCATAATTGTGAGAAATCAGTCATAATCATGAGAAATCAGTCATAATCATGAGAAAGTAAGTCATAATTATGAGAAATAAGTCATAATTATGAGATGCAAAATCACAATTATAATAAGTATGTCATAATTATGAGAAAGTAAGTCAAAATTATGAGAAAGTAAGTCATAATTATGAGACACTAAGTCAAACTTTTTTGAAAGTATGTAATAATTATGAGATGCAGAATCATAACGAGATAGTAAGTCATAATTATGAGACACTAAGTCATAATTATAAGGAAGTAAGTCAAAATTATGAGATACTAAGTGATTATTATGGAAAACTTTCTCATTATTATGACTAAATGGGTATATATTTCATCTAGCTAAAAATAAGCCATGTAACGCTGAGATGTGCGACTCGTAAAGGAACTGTACGAACCGGTTCTTTTCTCCAACGAAACTGACTCTCAGAAAATGTGTGTAGTGCTGAAAATTTTCATTATCCTCATTATCACTGGGGAATGTTTAATTTTATTGCTATCAACATGTACACTTAAAAATATATGGTTTTTCAAGGGTTCTTTAGTAAAAGGAATGGTTCTGTTCAGAACCATAAGTTCTATATAGAACGATTTCATGCTTAAATGGTTCTTTGCATGGTGAAATGGTTCTTTAGATTGATTAAGAATGTGTAGTATATTTGAAAGTGTTATATATAGCACCAAAAAAGGGTTCTTCTATTGTATACAAGCTTGACAATCTAACAGTAGCAGAACCCTTTTTGGTACTAAGAACCATGTGTGTGGTTTTTTTTTGTTTGTTTGTTTGTTTGTTTTTTTTTGACGAAAATGCATAAAGTTCTGAACATTTTTGAAACTTAAGACAGCTGTTATTCTATATTAGTGTTATAAACTTAATCCACACTTAAAAACTTTTTACACAAAAGGAAACAGACATTATTTTTAAAAACCAAACACATACAAGAAAATACAGATCGGAGTTTTCCTGTGTCGAACGCTAGATGGAGCTCTACACGCAGAGCAGCCTCCCCACCTTATTACTGCAATTATTTTTTGTGTTTTTTTCCCACCTGTTTTCGGACAAGCCCCGCCCTCTACGCTACGAATGGCCAATAATGTCTGACTTTCTATGAATATTTAAGTGAATCTGAGCATTTCTGGTGGAAACGACCAAATCATTTTGGTTTAAAGAGGCGCAGTCTTTATCTACACCACACCGAGAGACACCGCTGTGTTTAATACACTGCCAGGCAGTCGTGATATGCAGGTATCAGGTGATACACAGGTGAACATAAAGGCAAACGCACAGACATACTAGAGAGCAGAGACGGACATATATAAAAATATTGCACGTTGTCCTCAGTGATGGTATTGTTGCACAGGAAACAGGAAATGGAAATGTAAGCCGGACACTGTAAAGTGCTCAAGTACGGAGCCCCTAAGGGGCCGTGGTAAAATTCTCAAGTGATGAGAAATTGACGACATTGCACAAAAAAACAAAAAATAGCTGCATTTACAGGACAGCATTTATATGCAGCCCTATTACAAATCTAAGCATTATTGATTAAATCAAGTGAAATAATTATTTGAATAGAAAATTACACAGAAGCTTCAACAACTGAATAAATATCCTGAATAACCACCCACACTATCGAAGCAGCTTATACTTCTGATGAGTTTAACACCTTATAAAAGTGTGATTCTGGTTCTGTGATTAGCTACACTGCTAAGATAAACGGTTATACTTTCATTCAGTCCTTTCGATCACTGACACATCAGCTTCATTCTGAAAAAAAACAATTAATGTTCTGTATATATATAACGGCAGCAATGAGGTGGGGAGGCTGCTCTGCGTGTACAGCTCCATCTAGCGTTCAACACAGGAAAACTCCAACCTGTATTCGGTTTTTACAATGTCTGTCCGTTTCCTTTTTTTTGTAAAACTTGTTTAAGTGAGGATTAAGTTTATAACACTAATACTGAATAACAGCTCTTAATTTTCAAAAATGTTCAGTCGTGTTATGCAGGTATCAGGTAATTAGCGCCAAAGTGAAAGTGAACCTCATTGTCATTCAGACTAAACAGAAAGTAGTGCAGAGCTGAACGAGATTGCGTCTCTCCAGCTCCGATATGCAAATATAACATAAACATAACATGAAGGCAAATGCACATAGACATACTAGACAGCATGGACAGAGATTATATGTATATATATGTTACCTATACGTATACTGAGATAAACGGTCAATAAACGGTCGTGTTTACATGATTCTGTCATTCAGTGCCTTTGATTACTGACACATCAGCTTCGTTCTGAAATTAAACACTAATGTTCTGTTTCATTTATTATTTATTTAATAAATATTCTCCACATAAAGAGGCGAAACAATGCAGACACCAATCACAAGTATTAGCTTTGTTGAATGGGCCATTCTGCTATAAAAGCAAAGCACTGAAAGAAAGTAAGTGTTTGGATTTAAAATTCTTAATTCTTGAAATCTAATGATAAAAAACTTCCTTCCCCTCAGCAGAGACGCTGGGTGAAACTTAGGACAGGGCACTGCCAACCTAGGCTAACCTATGAATGTATGCGTTCAGGATGGGATCCAGGCCCCATGTATAACTAGACTAACCTGGCATACATGGAGGTCAGTGCCGACACGGAGTGGGATTCGAACCCACAACTGCCATGTCCGTCCGCCTCTCCAGCGCCTCAACCCACTTGGCCAAGAGGGAAGTGCAATGCAACAGATGACTTTGATCCATTTAACGCTGTAATACGTCCCATCGGGCTGCCACGGTGACGTCACATTCCTGCATGCGCTCACAATGCGCCTGAAATCCCCGCTGGCTTTATTAATGTAAGCCGTATATTTACTAGAATGGAGAAACACTGTAATGATATGAAGAGCCTGTCAGTTTAAGAGAACGCACTTTCTGCAGGAGTTTGTCAGGCGTTGATTTTTATTGATGTATATTTTAAATAAAGTAACATAGTGCACATCATATGCAGATAAAAATATACATACAACAGTGAACATACACATGAATAACTGTGCTGGGGGGGTGAACATAACTACATAAACATCCTGAAGAACACATGTTCCACCTCTATTTCAATGGTGACAAAAATGGGCTTTTTTCCTGAGAATTTACACTAATGAATATAAAACAACATCATTAATAGAATAAGATTTATCATACACTCCTGTGTGTATTAAGCTCTGTGATTTTCCAAAAGACCAAATAATTCATGTTTCCACAACAAACAACACTTCACATCAGTATTATGAGCGATAAGCGCACTGAGGTACTGCCAACATGTTTTTACATATTGACAACGGCAGAATAAATGAATGCTGTCTGTGGATAGTTACTGTAGAATAAGGGTTCAGCGATTATTCGACTTGGTCGACTAAAATCAACGACCACATTGGTTGTCAACTAATTTAATAGTCGATTACTTGGTTGATTAGTTTCTCGTGCTCACTAGGAATGTTTTGACATTACCGCTTACTGGAGAGTACAGAGCCCCTCTGGAGACATCCTGTATGAAGAAGAATAATGTGTGGCCACGACTTAGTAAGGTGTGGGAACAAGATAATTAAGTCATGGCCACAACTACTTAATTATTTTGTCGTTGATGTTGTTACGCTGCCTCATGTTATTTCAGACTGGAATCGATTTCTCGAACACATTCAATGGAAGAAGGTCTGACTGCTTCCTAACAGACACCTAAATACTAATAAAGTTAAAAGAGTGTCATTTAAACTTATACATCAAATCTACCCAGATAAATATGACCTCAGGGTTCCAAAGACAGAGATTTATGCTTGTATAAGATCCTTATTGTTACATATAAAGTAATTATGTGGTGAAAAATGATGCTTGTAAATTAGAGTCCATGCTAAGAAGGCCTGGTGATGAAATTCAGACATTTTAACAGGTATTTTATCAAAGTTTTAAATTAAGAAAAACTCCAGATCACCTAGACTAAATAAGATGTGGTATTACTGTAATGCCCTGCTGGCTGGATGGCCGAGCAAAAGCCTTAACAAGCTTCAGCTAGTCCAGAATGCTGCAGCCAGAGTTCTTACTAGAACCAGAAAATTTGACCATATCAGCCCAGTTTTATCAACCTTACACTGGTTACCAGTTAAATTTTGCATTGATTGTAAAATTTTCTTACTGACTTATAAAGCTC